TAACCCTCTTCAAAACTTGGCTTCTGATGGATCTTTGAGAGCTAGAAGAAAAGCAAATGCAGTACTCAGACTCCTCAATAGGTGCTGCTCTCAGCCTCATCATTCTGTTTGATGATGATATTCACATCACTTCACACTTGTATATTTTGTGAATGAAATTGGTGTACTTCAAAAATAGCTCATCAGTTATTGTTTACAATTTTTGGTTTCAATGCTTTGGAACTTTGCCCAAATGGTTGATTAGGAAATAATCCCTGTCAGAAGAATATCTATCTCTGTTTATTAAAAACTAACAAAAAACTTAAAGAAGATATTGTTGTTGAGTAATCATATTGCAACCTCTATTGAGAAAAAACTTAAACCCCCTATATTGTAGCCTTTATTGTAGAAAGGTTGAGGAAAACAAAAAAATAAACCCTTATACTACCTCGGTTCAACTACAAACCGAGACATAAGACCCCTCTACTACCTCAGTTCACCTGCAACTGAGGCTAAAAGTCTAGCAAAAAAAAAAGAGTAAAAAAGGAACACCCTCTACTGCCTCGGTTGTATTTGAATCGAGGCAAAAACATACTCCTTTTTGCCTCGATTCAAAACTGAGGCAAAAAGAGGTAGAGTTTTTACCTTGCCAGTATATATCTCGGTTGTGAAACTGCTGCCNTTACTATTATTAGATATTAAATTAATCTCTAATTGATTACATGGACTAACATATTAAGATATATAATATTAAAAGATGTTTTATAATGTTTTTAATTAAAGAGATTGATACAATGTTTAAAATGATATTTTTTTAAGTTAAAAGAAATTTGTATGAAATAAAATTATTTTTAATAAAACACAATGTTAAAGTAAATTATTAATGGCATAGTTATATTATTTAAAATATTTTATACATCTTAGTTATATTAATTAATATATTTTATTTTAATGTTCAACTAGGTATAATTAATATTAACATTAAAAAATATTCACTAGTAAAAAAACAGTCTTTTAACCCGCTTAATACATCTCAGTTTTCACAAACCAAAGGATATTAAAATGTGGTGGCATTTTTGTAATTAAGGTGAACTTATACATCCCGGTATAGTGGAAACCAAAACCTATGCACTCTATTGTGTTGGTTATTTACGAAACCGAAGCATAAAACCCTCTGTGACAAAGCCCTACTGCTTCAGTCTTCTACGGATATATGTCATTGAACATTTATGTTTCGGTTTGCCTTCTAACCGAGACATATAGGTCAATATGAGTTACCTCTCGAGACTTTCCTCCCACATCTTCATTCGTGCGAACCCTTCGAAGCATATTTCACACCTCTGTTAGGGTTCTCTTCGAAGCATATTTCCCCTTTTTCATCTTCCATGACCATCTTCACGAAGCTCCGCTGTTATGGATGGCGGCCTATCTACTATCATCGCCAAGCCCAATGGCTACGGCAACGAGTTCGCGATAGAGGAGGTTGGAGATCTATTCTTGGCAGCGAAGGATTTGCGCTGGGGTTCAAAGGAGGTAGAGAAAGGTTTATTTTTGAAGGCGGAAAAGGCCTTTGTGCGGCGTAGCTCCGAGTGGGCGGGTGGGTGGAAGAGGGCTTTAAGGGCAACGGCAACGGTGGATGAAGGTTTGCAGCAGTGGCGCGACTTCCTTTCCCAACCGTGTCGGTGGTCCCTTTAACCAAATGACGGCTTGTCTCTTTGTCTCTCTTCCACATTTTTCTTTGCGAAATCCAGAAGCTTGAAGCTTCTGCACTTTTTCTTCACCGCGACAGACTCAACCTTGACGGCAAGCGCGGCGAAGTGGTGGCGAGGTCGTGGCGAAGTCGTGGTTAAGGCATCCTGTAGAGGTGGCGTTTCTGCGAGGGTTCAAACTCCAACTTCTTTCTTCTCCCTTCTTTGTCCCAACTTCACAAGAAGGGGAGGCATCAAACTTCATCTTTTCTTCTGTTTGTTCTGGTTTGGCCTTGCAGGAGTCTCCTTTCTTCCCCAAATCGTTCTCCGTTCTTTGAGAGCTTGGTTGCGACTGTGTTGGGATTGTGTTCCTGTTGGCATCTCAGAGTTGGTGATGACAACCTTCGCAATGCTCATTGCACCAAAACCTAAAAGCCTTTGATTCTTACAAAAGCTAAAAAGGTACTTTTTTTCTGTGTTATTTTGGGAGCTATTTTGAAGGTTTAAGTTGAAATGTTGTGCAGAAAGGGCAACAACGATGGGAACCCTTTCGCAGGGTGTATGGGGCAGTGTTTGACATTGCTAATCCACCGAGAGGTTCAACCCAACTGAGGTTTCAAGTTGGCGTAGCAGATGATGGATGACAAGGCTGACATAAGAGATGATGCACTTGTAGTGCTTGCTTCACTCCTTGGTTGCTTTGAGGGATTGAAAGAGATAAGAAATAGTAGAGCATTGGTGCCACTTCTTATTGATCTTCTTAGATTTGGTTCAGTGAAAGGGAAGGAAAATTCAATAACCCTCTTCAAAACTTGGCTTCTGATGGATCTTTGAGAGCTAGAAGAAAAGCAAATGCAGTACTCAGACTCCTCAATAGGTGCTGCTCTCAGCCTCATCATTCTGTTTGATGATGATATTCACATCACTTCACACTTGTATATTTTGTGAATGAAATTGGTGTACTTCAAAAATAGCTCATCAGTTATTGTTTACAATTTTTGGTTTCAATGCTTTGGAACTTTGCCCAAATGGTTGATTAGGAAATAATCCCTGTCAGAAGAATATCTATCTCTGTTTATTAAAAACTAACAAAAAACTTAAAGAAGATATTGTTGTTGAGTAATCATATTGCAACCTCTATTGAGAAAAAACTTAAACCCCCTATATTGTAGCCTTTATTGTAGAAAGGTTGAGGAAAACAAAAAAATAAACCCTTATACTACCTCGGTTCAACTACAAACCGAGACATAAGACCCCTCTACTACCTCAGTTCACCTGCAACTGAGGCTAAAAGTCTAGCAAAAAAAAAAAGAGTAAAAAAGGAACACCCTCTACTGCCTCGGTTGTATTTGAATCGAGGCAAAAACATACTCCTTTTTGCCTCGATTCAAAACTGAGGCAAAAAGAGGTAGAGTTTTTACCTTGCCAGTATATATCTCGGTTGTGAAACTGCTGCCAACAGGCGAAAATAACCGCTGTCGTTTTCCTTGACTGTACTATTAATTAAAAATAAAATTAAAGGTAACAAATATATTTGACATACATTTACAACAAATTAAGAACGTACTTAATCCTCATAATTTATAGAGGTGGGAACCAAGATTATTTAATCTAACCACCAATTACATGATTAAGTTTGAATTTTGATTCTCCTTATGACAACCTCGTCTACACTGTCCAATATCCTTGAAAATAGCTTACCTACCCTTTGTTTCGTCCACGACCAGACGATGACAATTGATAGAGGCATCGTTTTCATATTCCCTCAAAATCAACTGCATGGCCCACTTCAGAGAAATTGCCATGGCTGTTTTTGACGTTTTGCAGAAAAATGGTATGGACTCTTCCATCATAATGTCTCTATAGTTTGAACCAAAGATGATGCCAACTAATACTTTCCCTAAAACCCACTCGTTTATGTTGACTTTGAATATTGGATGTGCAAGTCTCCTCTATTTGCTTGCAAGTCTACATGTTAATTACGGTGTTTTTTTCTTCTTAATATCCTATACTAATTTAATTTCTTAAATTCAGTTTTATTTTTACCTTAGATTTGATGAGAAAAAGAGTTTATACATGTCTTTCTCAAATCATATTGAGTTATAGTTACAGTAGATTTAAAATAAATATTTGTGTTTTCAAATTTTAATAAATAGAAACCACATCTTTTCAAATTATTAAAAAGCACCAATATTAATGTCTATACTTTCAATAAAACTATACGTATTTTTGAAATATTTTTTAAAAAAGTAACACTTACACTCTTGTTTTATTTTATAAAATATATATTAGTTAAAAGTTAAATAAAAATATGAACAGGCTTTTATTTGTACAAATATTCATTTTTTAAATATAATTGCAATTCATATTTTTAATTAAAATTAATGTACATTATTTTTTAATAAAAAAGAAAGTAAGTAATGACACTGTTATAAGATATGAGTGTCATATTTAAAATATAAGGATAACAAATATCATTCTATTAAAAATTAGAAAAATTAGAGGTTGTATGATTATTATTTTATTAAAAATGAAATAAAGAAGATATGTATTTATTTTAAAAATATTAATTAAGTATAATATGCATAAGATATGTATGAGTATTTTTTTTAACTTGTGTTGGATGGAGTAATTAAAAAAGGTAATTCATTTATTTAGAGAGTTTAAAATTTTTCTTCATAAATAAACTAATTAGAAATAAATTGAGAGTTAAGAAATTTTTCAAGGAAGTTCAAATAAATAGAATAGAAAAATTTTAAATATCTTAAAAAGTATAAATAATTTGAATTTTTTTTTTCATTCCACTCTCATTGAACTGAGTTAGTTTAAATTGAAAGCTCAATCAAGTCATTTTAAACTGAAGACTCAATCGAATGTCGTGAACCGTTAACAAAGGTCAAAAGACAAAACAAATTATTTTTGAATGAAGGTCGAGACGAGTTAATTCGGATGAAAGGACAAGATGAATTGATTTTGGACAAAAGTGAAGATAGTTAGTTAGAACCAAAATCACTTAAACTTAAAATTAACTCAAGTGAATTTCAAATTAAATATTAAAACAATTTGTCCTAAGTCAAATATCAATACAAGTCATTCAAATCGAATGTGAAGATGAGTCCTCCTTTGACCTGGGGTTAACATTTTTGGTTTAGGGAATATATATGATGGTAACAGTTAAACGTGGTAATACGTGCAATAACAACAACCAATTCAACGAAAGAAAAAGTAGAATATTTCTAGACATGGGTTTTTATATATGTCATGGTCATAAGTATTTGCAAAATCCCATCAATTACATGCAAGTTATTTTCTCTTGTAATTGAAAATTTCATCATGGTGTTCGTCTTTCCAACGCTTCTGTCCATGAAGCTCAAACCTTTATTGATGCTTCTTGTAATTTTGTTTTGTGCATTTTCACATTATGATGCTGCCAGTTCTTCTGATTCGGAAGCAAATGCTTTGTTGAAGTGGAAAGGCAGCCTTGACAGCCACAGTCAATCTTCTCTCTCTTCATGGAATGGCACTAATCCTTGCATCTGGCGAGGAATAGAATGTGATGATTCCCATTCTGTTTCTCACTTAAATCTTACACGTGTTGGATTGAAAGGTACACTTCAAACTTTTAACTTCTCATTATTTCCAAACATTCTCGTTCTGAATATGAGTTTCAACTTCTTGTCTGGAAGTATTCCTCCACTGATTGAACAGTTGTCCAATCTCAACACGCTTGACTTGTCTAAAAATAATCTCTCCGGTAGCATTCCCAAAACCATCTGTAATCTTTCCAAACTAAAGTATCTGAATCTTGGTGTCAATGGTCTCTCTGGTTCTATTCCTAATGAAGTGGGCCATCTCCAGTCTCTTATCACATTCGATATATATAACAACAACCTCTCTGGGTCAATCCCTCCTACCTTAGGAACCTTACCACTTTTAGAACTCATTCACCTTTATAGAAGCTTCGAAGACTCGTCAAGGGAAACATATCCTCCATGTGGACATATGTAAAAAGACAAGTCAATTGGAAAAGATTGTGGCATCATGGAAAAACCTCAATGCCATATTGCAAGAATTTGCGTTCACATAGAAAAGTATGGTCGTTAATTAAAAGACGGCAAATAAAGCATTAAAAAGCCAACTTTGCGGAAGAAGATAATCAAGAGAAAAACTCTATTCTACGCCAATCAAGATCTTCTTGATAGAGAAGAAAAAAAGAAGTTGGTACTTGGATAGTGGATGCAGTAATCACCATGGCAAAAAGATCAAAGTATCTTCAAAGACATTGATAAATCGGTCATCAATGTCAAAGTTCGGCTAGGAAATGGCACCACAGTGGAGTCGCGAGGCAAAGAACTGTATTGGTGGAGACAAAGAAAAGGTACGAAAATTCATCACGGATGTTTTACTAGTTCCAAATCTTAAAGAAAATTCTTTAAGTATGGCCAAATGATGGAGAAATGAATATCTCTTCATTTTGGAAAGATACATGCAAAAATTTATGATAGTAAAATGATAGAAATTGGCCAAGTAAAAATGGAAAAGAGAAATATAGAAAGCTTTCCTATTAAGCTTCAAAACCTGGAACTAATATTGCCATGAAGGTAGAAGTTGATGACTCATGGCCTTTAGGCATAGGAGATTTGGCCACTCAACACACATGCCTTAAAAACTTCTATATACGAAAAACATGATGAGAGATCTTCCATGGGCTGAAGGAGAATAATGAATCATGTGAAGGATGTCTCTCGGAAAACAACATCGATTACCCATTCTCGACAGACAAAGATGGAGAGCAAAAGACTTATTGGAAGAGTTGATTCATACGATGTTTGCGGACCGATGAGAACACCTTCACATCATAACAATAGGTATTTCATCCTCTTCATTGATGACTTCTCTAGAATGACATGGGTCTATTTCTAAAGGCCAAAGTCAGAAGTTTTTGGATGTATTCAAGAAATCACGGCCTTGTTGAGAGCAAAGTGGAAAACAGCTAAAAGTACTTAGAAGTGCGCGTGGCCAAGGATTACAATCTCACGAGTTTGGACAAATTCGGTGAAGATTGAAGGCATAGAGCGGAAACTTACAGTCGCATATACTCCAACAACAAAATGGCGTGTCAGATCAGAGAGAAAGAATCGCCACAGTTTATGGAGATGGCAAGGATCAATGCTGAAAAGAGAAAAGTATGCCTAACACTTTTTGGGCTGAAGCAGTTTAACTGCAGTTTATATTCTAAAACGCTGGCCAACTAAAAGCAGTCCAAGACAAGACTCCTATTGAAGCTTGGAGTGGAGAAAGCCATCGGCTAAACACCCTCGAGTATTGGATCTATCTGCTACATACATGTTCCTGACAAATGAGGCAAAAGCTTGAAGACAAAACTATAGAGGAATATTTTGGGGATATACACACAGTCAAAAAGGCTATCGAGTTTACAACACCCAAACTAAAAAGCCACTTCCCCCCATCTCAGTCAGTCGAAGATGTTGAAGTTGATGAAAATGCTTCTTGGAATTGGAAGAAGAAAAAGTGCTTAAAAAGCAACATTCTACTTCCAGTGCAAAATCTCCAGAGAAACTCAAGAAGAGGTAGAAGAAGAGGAAGATAGAATTAGAGAAATGAAGTAGGAAGAATAGAAAGTAGAATAGAAATCAGGTATGCTTTCTCCCACCTGCCAAACAAGATTCTTCACTGGAATCTAGTCCAAGAAGAGTAGATCTTTGGTAGACATATATGAAACTTGCAATATGGCCATGATTGAACCTAATTGTTATGAAGAAGCATCAAAGCAGGAACTATGGTCAAGGAAATGGAGGAAGAAGATCAAATTAAAGATATGTTACCAAGACCAAGATTTGAACTACTACGCACAATGCTTGGAGTTACCGAATTTGCATTAAGAGGAGTATTAAGAGTGTAGTAAGTTTAGTAAGTAAGAGGGTAATGCAAATTCTAGAAGATGAAGAAGAATGTAGAAGCACCTTAGAGTGAATAGAGATTTTAGGAAGAATTGAAAAAGAATAAGAATTGAAAGAATTTGAAAATAAGAAGACTTTGGAAATAGAATGAAAAATAAGAATTGAAAAAGAATTGATAAGAATTGAAATGTAATACAAAGTTCTAGAATATTCTAGAAAAACCTAAGATAGGAAGAAAAATCAAGAATATTCTACATAGGTAAAAATCTAGAACTCCACATACTTTGGCTAGCATGTTCTAGAATAAATTATGGTATAAATACCCATGAACTCTATCATTTGATATGTAAGATTGTAGCCAAAACATATATCATTTTTGGATGAATCAACTATACAATGTATTTGTATGAGCTAACATCTACTACAACAAAGAACAATACATCACTTCTTTCAACTCTGACTTCTACTGTCTACTATCTCTACATTTTCTCTACCACATCAACTACTCCTTCACAACTCAAAAATACTAACAAGTCTTCTGGAATGGGCCAGGAAAATTGGTATTACCAGCTGTGAAGTATTTCATGTTTCCGCCGAGGCAAATGTTCTGAGTATTTGGCCTATAAAATTATTATCAGCAAGTTGAAAACATTCGAGAGCAGAAGCTTCTCCAGTTCTATTGGAATCCGCCAGTAAGTTCGTTCCAATAAAACATATGACCTGGCGTGTTGATAAATTTCCGAATATGGGGAGGGATGGTCCGGTGAGTGATTTGTAGATAAAGATAACTTGGTGAGCCTGGACAAAATTCCCAATACTGGCAGGAATGGGTCCAGAGAGTTTATTTTCAA